TGAATTGCATATGATTAAACACTTTAATCTTATTACTCTAATTTAAATTGACATTTGCCCCTTTGCCACAAAACCATTTTTTTTGAATTTCCGTTTCTCTAAAAATGACCCCATATCTTCAGGTCTGAATACAATTAATATTATAACATTATTTGAAATAAATTAAAACAATAAGTGTAAGTTTATCATTTGCGTTTAATCATAACAAACTTTACATTTTAAAAATATATGTAATTGTGTCCTTTTATATAATTTCTAAAAAGTGTCAAAACTTTTATTTAAATATATTATGACTTGTAATATATCCGTAGTCTATGTCCAGTCTTTTAACGGCCAAATCCATAACCACCACTAAAGCAATAATTAATTTAATAAATACGGGTATAATTAAATAAACATATCGCCCATACCCATAACCACCATATCCACCTCCGTAACCTCCATACCCTCTACCGTACCCACCATACCCCCCATACCCTCCATATCCACCATATCTATAATTTCTAAAAATTTTCAAAACCTTTATTTAAATTTAATTATGACTTGTAATATATCCGTAGTCTATGTCCAGTCTATTAACGGCCAAATCCATAGCCACCATATCCTCCATAACCACCACTAAAACAATAATTAAGTTAATAAATATGTGTATAATTAACTAACCATATCGTCCATACCCATAACCACCATATCCACCTCCGTAACCTCCATATCCTCTACCGTACCCACCATACCCTCCATACCCTCCATATCCACCATATCCTCTATAGTAATAAAATAAATTATTTTAATATATACTATAATTTAGACATAAAGTTAATATAAGTTATTTTAAATCAAAATATTCTGGTATTAAAGTATATTAGTTTAATATTTAATCATACCGTCCATAGATACCGGCCTGGGCTACCGGTGCCAACAAAGCGGCAATCATTGCCACCAATAATGCAATGTATCTCAACATTATGTCTATGAGTTTGGGTTAACACAGAGTTTNGTCCATAGATACCGGCCTGGGCTACCGGTGCTAACAAAGCGGCAATCATTGCCACCAATAATGCAATGTATCTCAACATTATGTCTATGAGTTTGGGTTAACACAGAGTTTAAAATTAAAATACAATTCAAGACTGACTGTGAAAATGAGGATCACTTTCACTCTCTTATATAATCTGTATTTATGTGCAAAACATTTTTGACGGGATATACGATTGCATAGAGTTTTGGGATACAGGCGCTCACATCCCTGTGAATTTTTTGCCAAAATCTATTGTTTTTTAGATAAAATTATATTATAATATTGTTATTATGCTCAACTAAATCTAATTTCGACAAAAAATATTTATATTAAATGCTGTTTGTTTATGCTTAATTCTATTGATATTGTATCAGATTATCATTTTTATATTTCTGAATTATTTGTATAAAATTAATTAAATTATTTTGGATCCAGGATCTATTGACTGATAATTATTAATAAAATTTTCCTAGAACGTTTCTAAGTATTTATTTATTGCACTTAAATATATGTCAATATTTGACAAAATTAAATATAAATTTATTAAATTATTTTGGATCCAGGATCTATTGACTGATAATTATTAATAAAATTTTCCTAGAACGTTTCTAAGTATTTATTTATTGCACTTAAATATATGTCAATATTTGACAAAATTAAATATAAATTGAGTTATTTTATAATGAATTTTATAGACAGGGATATCATAAACCCACTGAATTACACTATTAAATAAAGTATTAATTAATAACAAACAAATTACAGCTAAGTTTGTATAAACCTAAACATTTTGACAGCATGTTATATGAAATACGCAAATGCTTGTAGTTTTATAAATTTTTATTAATAATAAAAATAAAATTAAAATAAATCATTATAATTTTAAAATTAATTTTATTTTTATAATTGTTATTAAAATAGGCAAATACAATTGATTGCATTTTAATCAGCATATAATAGGTTTATAGTTAATTATGATTATTAAGTAATTTACAAAAAATGATATAAAAAGGATACTGCAAACATAAAACTAAGATTATTTAAATTTAAGTTTACAAATGAAATTTTTATGATAAATGCCATAGAAATGAACCAAAATAACCACATCTCGGTATGATCCATTTACTATCCACTTCTGCGACTTTTGACCAGGGTGTACTGAGTATTATTCTGGACATGGATGTATCGACGTAGTCTTAATGTTAGACCCATTTTCACTCTAGTTTTCAATAAGAAAATTCAAACAAAAAGGTTTTTTAACTATAAATTGAATAATGCTTTCAATTAGTGATAACTCAATGCATGAATTCGTGCTTATTTATACCGTTTTGTAGACGTATTAGATAGTAATAAATGTCATAAATTGACCCATATGATTTATATATTACATACGTAATAAAGCAGCATATGCCGTATATTATAATTACATGGGCTCTTACTAGTTAATATTTGTATGATAAACAAGTCTATTTTTAAATGTCTGGACGTAATAACTTTTGGTTTGTGTAAATCATAGTTGAATTACAAATAATTATAATTACATTGAATTGTAAACTTATAAAAATGTACTTTATTATTTATAACGGGTTTCCGATTTTTGAATTAAATTTTATAACCACAAAAGTATTATTTAAAAAATTTTAATTTTCTAATATTGCTCATAAAACTTCAGTTGCTTGTTCCCTGGTTAAAACATACTAAAAAACTTTTCCATTCAGGTGTTTCATTCATGTTGATCAACTCATCCATGTTGTTTCATTCAGATAATAATTCAGGTGACATATATTTCATTGAATTATAATCTCAATTTATCACCCACGTGCAATTTAAGCAAAAATCGCTAATTTTCATACTTATCGTGGATCATTATTTATCATTGAGTAAAAAATTCTCAGGTTTTATGAATGATATGTAGATTCAATTCATGGGGACTATGAATACATTCTAACAATTGTGAGATTAGTTTGAAAATTATACAAAAAATGTAACACTCGAAGAGATCCATGACATGACCTGGTTGTTGACCGAATGTCTAATACTTAAAGAAAATAATAAATATTTTAAGAAATAACAACAAGAATATTGTACGAATAATTGGCTTATGATTCTATAAAGCTCATTTTATAAAATTCTAATTAATGATATATTATAAATTAATTTTTATGCAATATACAAAATTAGTATTTGATTGATTGTTAAATAACAAAGTCGTTTTGTAGTTTGGACCCGGATTTTTATATAATTCAATTATTTAATAAACAAGAATTTATGAATAGTTATATGACAAATAGGATATTTTGATAAGGTTCCTATGGTAGTTATATTATAGCAATTAAATATTTATTACAATTTTGTGATAAAGAATAACAATGAACAAACACCTATCAAATAAACCAAACTTTGTTCAGAGTTTATAGTCATAGATATAGACTTGTTATTTCATTCGTATAAAAATATGTTTAGATATTATTTATATTTAGTAACATATAACTCAATGTAAAATTTCGACTGTGAATACTATTGTAGTAATATATTGTTTAAGTCTATTACGAATACTAGTATTTATTTTATGAATAGCAATGTTGTACTTACATTTATATTGACCTGAACACAAAATCACATGTTTTAATAAGAATGACATCGTTATTAAATAATTACCCAATTTGTGATAATATTCCGCAAATAATCAAGTATCAAGTTAAATTATTCCACATATTTTATCAATCCCACGATCTACCACACACAGATGGCGGTAACAACATATTATTTGCAACCAATGATGATGTGGTCTATGGAATGGGATCTAATAGTTGGGGTGTACTGGGTTTGGGTCACAACCATGTTGTCGACTCTCCGGAGATTATCCATGAGTTATGTCACATTTGTATAGATCAGTTTTATAATGGCTACGATTTTGTGCTAGCCCTGACTAGAAATAACATTATATATTCTTGGGGTGCTAATTTTATAGGGCAATTAGGCAGGCATACCCCAACAAATGAATTTAACATAAAACCCATGTGTATCTATATTAGCGATAATATAAATATATCTGATATAAGGTGTGGATTTTCCAACACACTCGTACTTTCATCTAGTGGTAATGTGTATGCATGGGGTGGTTCCATGAGTAATGAGGTTAAAAAATACAAACCTCATAAAATCAAGTTCCCAGATGATAATTGTAAAATGAAAACAATATATTGCTTTAAAATGTTGAGGTTCGCAATCACACAAAATGGCGATATATTCAGCTGGGGTGATGATGATACCTTTCAATTGGGCCATGGCGAAAATATGATCCAACCTGAACCTAGATTAATCGAACATCTAACTAACGTTAAAAATGTGGCATGTTGCAATTATCTCACATATTTTTTAGATTTCAATGGTAATGTTTATATTTGCGGTGAATACCAAAAAGATAACAAAGAACATATTATTAAGTGCCCAGTTAAGTTGTCATCGGGAATAATGATAGATGAATTTGTACCAAATAAGTCAACATATATTGGCGATGGTTGTATAGCGAAAAATGGGAAAGATATTTACTTAATTGACACAACTGCCCAATTTATTAAGACGAATTTCAAAAGTTTTCTTGAATTTTTTGGAATTGGAAGTGAATCGACATATGAAACAATTCACGTCAAAGACGTCGAACTGGATGAAATTAATTTTGCTTTTTCAGATTACAATAAACAATTTACAAAGTCGCTTGCTAAATTTGGATCATATGGTATTTATATATTTTAAGCATCTTTTACCACTGAATTTTTAACAAGGGCATACTCAATTTAATTAATTAAGCAAACTCGATAAGGCTTGTTGAATAAATTTTTATTTCAAATTAGTATGGAGTTTTAATAGTTTCGATAGATTTACCCACAGATTACCGTACCTAGATATAATTCCAAATGAATATAAATCCATCGGTTTTAATCACAATATGCAATAACACATCGCGTCAGGGCACTGTTAGTAATGAAACATATACTAAATTAATTACCCACATACTCTCGGCTATTGTGAGCCATGTACGAGTACGAACCAAGTATGAGGTCGTTTATTAAATAATTTAGCATCTAATATGAATAGAATTTAATTGAGAATTTTAGAATGTATTTTAAGATATAATTTAGTTTTTAAATGTTTTCCAAAGAAACAAATTTCGAGAAAGACTTTGTAATTATATCACATATTGGATCTGGATCATTTGGCAATGTATATAAAGCGAGATCATTTGATAAAATATATGCAATTAAACAAATTAACATCCAAGGTATGAACAATATTTTAAAATTACAATTAAATTATAGTTTGTAAGCTAAAATAAATTGTGAAATAAATATCGCCGTAATGTTAATTTGATAATAATTTCACAAATTTAAAACCAGAAAATATTAATATCATAAACAGATATTATATGTTAATTTATTTATTTATGTTGATAGGAGTCAGCGATATTAAAGAATACCTTAATAAAAATAAACACGTATCCAAAGAAATTTCAAATTTGAGCAGAGTAATATCGCCATATGTGGTCAAAATAACCGGTAATTGGTTTGAAAGTAAATATGCTTATATTCAAATGGATTATTATTTTCAAAATTTAAAAACTATTATTAAAAATAAACCACAATTATTTGGTCGACAATCTGGATGTCCCATTAATTCAGTCGAATATTTCATTTCATGCGAAATATTTCGAGAAATCTTGGAAAGTGTTCAGTATTTGCATGAATTGAATCCACAGATCATTCACAGAGACCTCAAACCCGACAATATATTGATCGCCGAAAATGCAAGAGAGGGTCGATTCGTGAAGTTATGTGACTTCGGTTTGGCTGCGCTTCATAATCACATAAATTCAAATCATACGGGAGGGGTGGGTACTTTTAAGTACATGTCCCCTGAAGCAAAGTTGAACAAGATAAAATATACCCATAAAACGGATATTTATAGTTTGGCTCTGACAATATATGAATTATTCACTTTTGGATATTCAATGTAAGTTTTTCGAGTTTTGAAATTGAAATATGTTCTATCAAACATTTATTTCTGTTTATTAATTTAAATATTTATATATACTGTATAATATAATGAACGATTGACTGAATATTTATTTCAAATTAAGAACATGTATTAAAATTTACAATTTTAATCATTGAAAACATCTAATTTATTGAAAAAATATTTATTACAATCTTTTCATAAAAACATTGATAATTCATTAAAAGGTTTTATAGAATAATCGAATATATTTTAATCATAATAATTACTTCCATTAGTTTTACACATTAATCCATTTCTAATGGTTGTATAAAGTTCATAAATATCAAAATATATTATTCATTTCCACATTAAATACAATCTTTAAGATTTGAGTTTTTCTCCTTCCTTCTAAAGAATATATTTCCAGAAAATTTAATCTCACATTAATGTATATATTTAGTGATAATCTCAGTATTTGTGAAAGTAACGACAAAACAACAAAATTGGACATAATATTGGACTCCATGTGTGATGTTATGCCTAATAAACGACCCGATTGTTCACAAGTATTGTCACAATATAACGAATGGGCTATTGATTGCAATCGTATCAAGAATTCTGAAAATTTTGATATAATTAAAACTAATTTAAAACAACAATTGGACAATCACTTTTACTATAATTTCCTTATTGCCAAGACAAACTTAAATGAACTTGAACTCGAAAGTAGGTATTGGAGTTCATATTCAGAAATAGTTTATGTTGGTAAAGGCGCATTTGGATATGTTTGTAAAGTTTACGATAAAAGTACCAATGATATATATGCGGTAAAAATGATTGAAATGACAGGTATTTATAAATACCTTTGTAAAAATTTATGTTAAATTACATTAAATATTTTATTTATCAGAACACGTTTATAACAGCAAGCATGAAATATTTAATAAAATTGATAAATTAAAACAAATTAACTCAGACCATGTCATACGTTATTATGATTATTGGGTGGAAAGCAGAACAATATTTATTCTAATGGAATATTATTCTAGAAATCTGACCGAGGTAATTAATGACGAACCACTTGCATCTGGTAGACAGCTTGATGTTCCCACAAATTGCAACCAATATTATATGTTATGTGTAATACTGAGACGAATCATAGAATGCGTTCAGTATCTGCATGAATCGGTTCCACAGATAATTCACAAGAATCTAAAATCTGAGAATATATTATTTACATTTGTCGAGAAGAACAAACTAGGTATTAAAGTTTGTGATTTTGGTTTTAATACGTGTTTGCAAAATTTGGGACATGTGCCTGATAACTCATTAAAGTATAAGTCGCCTGACTATAAACATGGAACGAATAATGTGACCTATAAAACTGATATTTATAGCTTAGGCATAATTGCCCAGGACATATTTAATTACAATTTCGAGTAAGTGGTAAATTCATTGTTAAAATTATATTTTTAAATGTTTTATTTACTTAATTCGAATATCAAAATATTGCAATTTTAGATTAAGTGCTATAAACAGTAAATTTGACCAGTCAATTTCCCATAATGTTCATGAACTTGGTGAAATAATAAGAAACATGCTGACTACGAATTCTGATGAGAGACCTTCGTGTAATGATATATTGCGAACTTATTCAACTTGGCAAACTAATATTGAGACTTAACCAAGGCTAAACATAACACTAATTTTGTAGAAGTTTTCTTGATCTAACGATTTACATTTCTATTACATTGTCGTTAACAATTTTGTTATAATCAACCCTGGATAACTTATTAAACGACTGATTTGTTTGTAATTTTACGTTGCATCGTAAAAGGGTGTAAACATAATTATAAAGAAATGCTAAATATATTATATTCTAATGTTATTAGTCTTGAACACAAAATTGAAAAATATTTACATCTATTATTTTAATAATAATTTTAAATTTTTAATTGAATTAAAACAATAAGTGTAAGTTGATCATTTGCTTTTAATAAAATATTATAATCATAACAAACTTTACATTTTAAAAATATATGTAACTGTGTCCTTTTATATAATTTCTAAAAATTTTCAAAACCTTTATTTAAATTTAATTATGACTTGTAATATATCCGTAGTCTATGTCCAGTCTATTAACGGCCAAATCCATAGCCACCATATCCTCCATAACCACCACTAAAGCAATAATTAATTTAATAAATACTGGCATAATTAAATAAACATATCGTCCATACCCATATCCACCTCCGTAACCTCCATACCCTCTGCCGTACCCACCATACCCTCCATACCCTCCATATCCACCATATCCTCTATAGTCATAAAATAAATTATTTTAAATCAGAATACTATGGTATTAAAGTACAGTATATTAGTTTAATATTTAATCATACCGTCCATAGATACCGGCCTGGGCTACCGGTGCTAACAAAGCGGCAATCATTGCCACCAATAATGCAATGTATCTCAACATTATGTCTATGAGTTTGGGTTAACACAGAGTTTAAAATTAAAATACAATTCAAGACTGACTGTGAAAATGAGGATCACTTTTAACAAAGCGGCAATCATTGCCACCAATAATGCAATGTATCTCAACATTATGTCTATGAGTTTGGGTTAACACAGAGTTTAAAATTAAAATACAATTCAAGACTGACTGTGAAAATGAGGATCACTTTCACTCTCTTATATAATCTGTATTTATGTGCAAAACATTTTTGACGGGATATACGATTGCATAGAGTTTTGGGATACAGGCGCTCACATCCCTGTGAATATTTTTACCAAAATCTATTGTTTTTTAGATTAAATTATATTATAATATTGTTATTATGCTCAACTAAATCTAATTTCGACAAAAAATATTTATATTAAATGCTGTTTATGCTTAATTCTATTGATATTGTACCAGATTATCATTTTTATATCTCTGAATTATTTGTATAAAATTAATTAAATTATCTTGGATCCAGGATCTATTGACTGATAATTATTAATAAAATTTTCCTAGAAGGTTTCTAAGTATTTATTTATTGCACTTAAATATATGTCAATATTTGACAAAATTATGTATAAATTGAGTTAATTTTATAATGAATTTTATAGACAGGGATATCATAAACCCACTGAATTACACAATTAAATATAATTCAAAATAAAGTATCAATTAATAACAAATAATTTACGACTAAGTTTGTATGACTAATTACTATTAATTAATTATTTAATATTATTTAATATATATTACATTTTAGATCTTGTCCCATATTATGTTCTAGATATATTTTATGATCATCTAGATCGATACCATTGGCCATAATAAGCATTTTGGTGGGAATATGTGGCCGCGGAAATCAAATGTTCCCGATATAATCAACCCTTTCCATAGGATTAACATATAAAAAATTTGTTTTTGATTTAACCACTAGAGGTCGCACTCGACTTCAATAACTCTGAATTATATTCATAAAATACCTGATCATAATTTTATCATATTTATACATAAATTGGTAAAAGGGTGGGTTCAATGTTCATTATACTCTTGGT